ATTAGTTAACCATAGAGGTCTGGAGGTTTGTTCAGACAGGCAGGAAGTTATATGGCTGGGCAGAGAGAAGAGATGATACAGTGGGGTGGAGAGAGGAGCTTGCTCTCTTTTCGGCTGAGGATTTCGTAAAGGTAAGAACTAGTGGCTAGCTGCTCTACCTCTCCGATCTTTTAGCATTTACCCCTATATCTGACTCTGGGTTTTTATTATTAAGACCAATTTGAATTTAAGTAACACCACCATGTTATGATTGTCTATAATATTCATGACAATAATGTGGTAGATAGGTTTGTAGCCTGGAAGAACAGATTACAGCATCAGATTTACACATGTAACAGGCTCTATACCGCTAGTCTTATAAGATTACACTATATGATATCCACAAAATAATGAAATTACCTTCCCACATTCCTCAGACTGTCGCCCATCTTCACAGTGTATGGCTGAATTTTTACAGCATTTAATTTGCATAAAGTATTACAAATAATCTACAACAATTTAAAGCATATAGGAGGATGTGCATAGGCTGTACAAACATGAAAACAATATGCCATTGTGCATGAGACTTCTGAAGATCTATTTAATTCCTTTAAGCATGTGTATGTGTGGAGCAGGATATGTATACCTGAGTGCCAGTGCTTTGGAGGGCCTGAGGTGTCAGATTTCCTATAGATGGAGTTACAAGTGCTGCTGGGAACCAAACTTGAGTCTCCCGAAAGAACAGTGTGTATTCTTAACCACTGAGCCATCTCTCTAGCCCCCTAAAGGATTCTTTTGTTTTGTTTTGTTTTTGTTTGTTTGTTTGTTTTTTGTTTTTTTCGAGACAGGGTTTCTCTGTGTAGTTTTGCGCCTTTCCTGCAACTCGCTTTGGAGACCAGGCTGGCCTCAAACTCACAGAGATCCGCCTGCCTCTGCCTCCCGAGTGCTGGGATTAAAGGCGTGCGCCACCACCGCCCGGCTCCCCTAAAGGATTCTTAAATTTCTGTACCCATGGAGGGATCCTGGAACAAATTCTACAAAGAGTACAACTGTACTCTTGCCTAACAACTATTGCATCACATCTAAACTATGGGTCCTGGCTTTCAGACTCACCCACCCACATCCACCTGGCACAACACAGAGGAGCACTGGTAAGTAGCCGATCACGCCATTTACTCTCCATCCTAACCAACTCAGATTCGCTCTTCCTGTTCTCCTTATCAGTAAGCTTATTTTCTCCTAAGTTCATGCTATTCTCTTGCTGAAATGACCTTTGTACCTTTCATGGCTTGTTCAACTCCTACTAATCCTTCCAAACCCAAGGCAAGCCTGTCCTCCCTGCAGAGCTTCCTAGTGGTTCTAGCTAGCACCAACCCTCTTCCTGTGCTCTGGACTCCACCACTCTCACTACTCAGGAACCTACTACATCATGTCTCTTTTCTCTCTTTGATAACTCACTCTCCCCCACCCTACTGGTGCTTTTCCATTGAAATATGTCCTTATTCATTTTTCTCCACTTGAAAGGCTTCAATGATTTCTTTTCTGGGCCTAATATTCTTCATTTCTCTGACCACCAGGCTTCTTGAACAACTACCTTACACTTGCTCTCCTCTCCCTTAGTTTCCATTTACTCTTCAGCTAGTACCGACTTTCATTCCCCAAACTGCTGACACCAAGCTCACCGGAGGCTTCACACTGCCAAATACAGCCCATCTGTAGAAAATACCTGCAGCTCGGGCTATCTGGCGGCAATATCCTGTGTCTCCTTTGAAGAGCTCCTCCACCCCACTCTTGAACTCAAACAGGACTTCAAACATGGGCTGACATCAGAGGTGTGGCACCCAGCTAACAGTAAAACTCCCCGCACAAGAAGAAAAGCTGGCTGGGGCTGACTTAGCCCCGTGGACAAGTACTTCCTAACCTTCCCAAGGCTTCATGGTTACATTCTTTTGGTTCTGTGAGCTTACCCAGCACACAGCAATAATTCTCTGCTTACATTACCCCAGGTCAAATTCTGTTGCTAATAACTAGAGAGAAATTGGTCCTGCGTGTTGGTGCAGAAGTAGCCCCGTTTCCAGTCACCCCATCTTTTGGTCTTCTCTCTCCATCTCTGTAGCCTCTGCACTTAAAGAAACTACAGCAGCTAATGTGAGAATTCTTTCACCATGTGATCCAAGGATGGCTTCATTAATTGGGAGGTAAAGATGTCTGGGGCTCCTCAATCAGCCACACAACAGGCAAAAGAGAATGATGAGTCTTTCCTAGGTTGTTGTTGTTATTATTATTATTATTATTATATCACAGGTTAATTTGGCAGCCAACAAATGCTGCAATGAATCCCTTAATTATCTGATGTTCCCCAGTCCTCCCAAGTTTTCTTATAAGCTGAGCTCACTATTTACTATTTCAGTATTCTCTTTAGCACCTATGGTGTTGGGCAAATGTAAGTACTCAATAAATACTTGATGAACTGAATTAAAAACACAGTATTAGCACATTAATAGGAGCAACTTATCATGCCCTACTGATCTAATTAAAAGATCTGGCCTTCTGAAATAGCACAATTGTACCACATGGAAATTTTAATGAGAAAAAGAAAAATTATCCAATTGAACAGTTAACAGTTTTCCTCTTAGCAAGAGTTTCACACATATTTTATGGATAACAAGCTCAGAGAAAAATGCTCAAGGTGTATGTACATATGGAAGACTATACATTTAAGGGGTTATTACAATGAAAATTCCATAACTGAAGTTAAGACATTATGTAGCAGCAAAGTCAATTAATGTCAAATCAACCTTCCCCCCCCCACCCCCCAAGACAGGGTCTCTCTGTGTAGCCCTGGCTATCCTAGAACTAGCTATGTAGACCAGGCTGGACTCAAACTTCCAGAGATCTGCCGGCCTCTACCTCCAGAATGCTGGGATTAAAGGTGTGCTCTACCACTGCATGGCATCAAATCAACTTTTATTAAAGATGTATAATAACCTGTGTATATAATAAATACAGCAGTCACATTTAACACACAATTTTTTTAGTGTCTGTTAATGACAAATTCAGTACTAGAGTACACAGTTCCTATCATTGGAATGTTCTAGCCTGCCATATTGCATCTAAGGAATACAATGAGGATTATGCCATTGAACATAGAGACCCTGAAGGCTAGCAGTCATATCAACATATAACTGTGGCAATCTGATTAAGTCCTAACAAAGACATAAATGCAAGTGGTCTGGGGACCATGAAAAAGAAAATAACTTGCTGGGGAAAAAAAATCAGGTAAATACAAGGAAAAAAACCTGAAAGCAGGACATGGTGGAACACAACCATAATCCTAGCACTTGGAGGCAGAGGCAGGTGGCTCTCAAGAACTTGAGACCAGCTTGGTCTACTTAGGGAGTTCTGGGATAGCCAAGGCTACTTAGTGAGATACTATCTTAGGGGCCTGGAGAGATGGCTCAGAGTGCTCTTCCAGAGGTCCTAAGTTCAATTCCCAGCAACCACATGGTGGCTCACAACCATCTGTAATGAGATCTGGTGCCCTCTTCTGGCCAACAGTCATACATGCTGTATACTAAATAAATAAATCTTTAAAACAAAAACAAACAAACAAAAAAACCCACCACCACCACCACCACCAACAAACCTTTGCATCCATACATGACCACAGTAACCTTCACTGAAAGCAGTGGAGGGCACTGCTAAGAAGCAGCAGGAATCAAACCCCAATCCATGGCTGTAATGAGTCCCAGGGTGTTCTAAATCACAGAAACAAAACACCCCTTGCCACTGAATTGTAAAAGAAAGAAACAAGTCTATATGTTAAATAAACCCACACTATCAGTACAAAGGGAGTCTTTTACACAACATGTAGTATGCAAGTTCAAAGAGAGCTTGTCATAAAAACAAGCCAAGGTGTGGGAGTCACCTTTCCTAGATAGGTGTAGCTACCACCCGTCATCCAAGACGTGTCTCTTTACAGCAATGGAGACCAACACTGGACACCACGTGGAGAACAACAGACTGTGGGGAGTCAGGCCCGAGTGCATACACCTACATCACAGCTCCTGAATCCCTGGTTCCATAAACATCATGGGAAAGACTGTAAGACCCAGCATACCAGGAAGTCTGCTGTGAAATGGTTTCTCCTAGAAATGGCTGCATAAACAAGTCAGGAACAATGGCAGCAGTGGTGGGCACGCTAATGTGGAAGGGAGAAAATATCACCACGTGCCCATCCCTAGACAAGCACTAATAATCAAAGGAAGAGAGGCTATCTATCAACTTGAGAGTAGAGGGAACATGGGAGGAGGTTGAGGGAGGAAAGCTGGGAAGGGCTGAAGAGAGGAGAAGGAGAGGAGAAAGTGATAAAATTCTGTTTCCATTAAAAACATTAAAATAGCTGAGTGGTGGTGGTACACACTTTTCATCCCAGCACTTGGAAGGCAGAGCCAGGCTGATCTCTGTGAGTTTGAAGCCAGCATGGTCTACAGAGAGAATTCCACACAGCCAGGGCTACACAGTGAAACCCTGTCTTTGAAAAAAAAAAACAAGTCAACCAAACCAAACCAAACCAAACCAAACAATGTTGAAATAAATAAACAAAAATTAGGATAATCTCTCCTAAGAAACCCTCTTAAAAGTATAATTAAAATTTTTAAATTTTTGTTGTTAGAGAGGTTGGCAAACACTTTTAGTCCCAGCACTGAGGAGGCAGAGGCAGGCAGATTTCTGAGTTCAAGGCCAACCTGGTCTATAGAGCCAGTTCCAGGACAGCCGGAGCTATAAAGAGAAACCCTGTATCGATAAACTAAACAAAATTTGTTGTTGGCTTGATAAAATGGTTTAGCGAGTACTTGCTGCCAAACCTGACAACCTGAGCCCTACCCCACACAGCAGAAAAGAGAAGTGACTCTCGGGTTATCCTCTGACACTGATACACACACACACACACACACAGTGTCAAATGCAAGCCCCTTCTCCCCTGATTTTTCCCTCCCTCTCTTCCCCTCTCTCTTTCTCAATAAATGTAATGAAAAACTAAAACTTCTGTTGGTGCCGAGCATGGGGGCACACACCTGTAACTTGGGAGATAAAGGCACAAGAGCTGTTGCATATTCAAGGTTGGCCTAGGAGCAAAAAGAGATCCTATACCAACACACACATATGCTCAAGGTGTATCCACGTATATACCAAAGATTACATATTTAAGGGGCCTGCCACATAATTACTTAGACCCTACCCTATATAGTGTTGATAGGGAGGGGAATTACAAGGAGTAGGGATCCATATCTTGAGAAACACCCATGTTAGCAACAGCAGGGATCTAAATTGCATTAGCTGTGGGAGTGAGGGGGTCCAAAGGTTCAAACGGAAGGCTTTAGGGCAAAAGTTGAATACACACTGAACGCTTGCCACGGAAAACCCTGGAATAGAAGCGGAACAGTCTGGACATTGTACCAAGCTTAAGGTAATTTTCAGCCCTGGCTGCTGAGCAGAATCGCCTGGAGAGCTTTAAGAGCTATACCCACAGCCTACCTCCCTCCAGATCAAAGGTAATGTCTGGGAAGTGAAACAGGGTGATTACAACAAACAGTCCAGTTTAGGAACCACAGAGCTTGACCACAGGAAGGAACGATGTGAGATAACATTGAGACCTGGGTTTAAAGGCAGTGGTTCTGTGCCTGCTACCTGTGGAAGCTTCTCTTCTAACGTGAGTTAAACAGTGTTTTCTGAGTGTTTCCTGCACACCCAGCTTACTGTAAAATCTGATTTTTTTTTTTACTTGTGTGATGTTCCATAGACAAAGCTACAAAATAACTATTCTAAGTGGCCTTTACTATACTGCAAGGAAATGCTTTTGTATCAGGAAATGTCCTAAGTTTTACCCATGCCCAAACTTCACAAAACTACTTTTAAATACACGGAGAATCTAAGTAGGTACCCAACCTTTTGATATTGTGACACAACCTTATCATTTACACGGTGCACCCTCGAGAGCCACACAATCAGATTAAGAAAAAAAAAAAACTAAGGTATTGAATAAGTTTCCAATTTGGTGTTGGACCACATTCATGGTTGTTCTGGGTCACATGTGGCTGGCGGGCCTTTGGTGTGACATGCTTGACAGAGCTTTCATCTATAACTCTTGGTTTCACAAAGTGGAATGATTACAATGTATCTGACTTATTTTGCAACAAATACTTTCAGTGTACTTCCCAAACAAATGGAAACACAGTATCTACACAGCAAACCGAGAGTCCTGGGGAAAAGGAAAACGTCACTAAGGTGACTGTTGAGATGGCAAAAACCAAGTCTGGCTGGCCATGGGGATAAGATGCTGCAGGGTACACCCACCACGAAGTTTGCTTAAGAAATCTGTCCATTGCTACCTATAAAGTTAGCCAGAACTGTCCTGAATGTTTCTTCGCTCTACTTAGCGGTAAAATGTTATTCGAACATTAGTGAAGCTTTGGCAGTTAGTTTCATGTGATCTCTTATCTGCAGACGAGGTCAATAAAAGCAAAAAGACCCCCTCAGAGAGAAGAGAACTCAACAGTCAAAATGCCCAACCTCAGCAAGAGCCCAGAAACCCCATGCTTGTTCAGGAAACACGAAATCAGACGAGCTAGTCATTCGCTTGGACCAGTGCTGTTCAGAAGCAAAAAGATGGGCTTCTAAAAAGAAAACGCCAGCCTAACTCTCCGACACAGGGGTGAAAGTTATAAAAGCCAGCAGTACGAGTTTGACGAGTGGGTCAGAAGGAAAGTCAGAAGACAAGGAAAGAGATGGAAGAGATGGCAAAAGGTGAAGGAGGCAGGCAAAGGCCGCCCGGTGAGGACTTCGCTGCCCAGTTCTTTATGCACCCAGGACAGCATGGGGCCTCTGTCCGCCCGCGCGCACCGGAGCAGGGCGAGCCCCCGCGGGCCTGGCACCGAGGGTGCGGGCAGGCCAGGGTGGAGAGGGCGCTCGCCCGGGGACAGGTGGGCGCTCGGGGGTCCCCGGGAACGAGGGACACTGAGTCGAGCTAGCCCTCACCTCGCGCGGCTTGGAGGGGGTGGGTGGAGCTGAGCCCGGGGCCGCCCCCCGGAGCCGCCCCCGCAGCCGCGGCCCAGGCTGTCAGCGCCCCCTCCCGCGGCCACTCACCCGCCGGCGACGCGCTCCGGGCCGCGGTGGCGGCGACCCCCGCCTGGGTCATGATCCCAGGAGCGGAAGGCAGCGGTGTCTGGCCGGCCAGGCGAGCCTCCGGGTCCGCAGCCGCCGCCTGCTTCTGCGGGGCTGGGGGAGCGCGGGCCCGGGCCCTCCTCTCCCCCCGCCCCCGGCGCCTCTCCTCGCGGCCACCGCCGCCGCCGCAGCGAGCCCGAGCCCTCGAGGCCGGAGACCCGGCGGCAGCACGGCCTCAACTTTCCCAGCCCCCCTCCCCCCGCCCCTCCCGCCCCTCCCGCGGGTCGCCGCTCCGCACGCGCACAGCCTAGCCTGGGTGCGCGGCGAGCCCGCCCCGGCCGACCGGCCTGCCAATCCGGTGCTGGGGAGGCTGCCGCCGTAGCCAATCAGTAGCCGGGATGCCTCTGCGCTAGGCTAGGGGGCGGGAGGAGGTGGAGGGGCAAAGCTAGGAGGGAACAGGCCTCAGGCGGCCCAATGAACACGGCCGGGGGGCGGAGGTGTGCAAGTTGGGTTGAAAGAACAGGAAATATTCTTAAAGGTAGAATGACGGGCAGAAAGGAAAGCCAGTAGGTGTATGAGAAAGAGGTAAGCCTGGTTCCTTAAAGGGGACGCTTTGAGAAGCTGGAAACGATGTTTTAAGAAACTTCTTGCATCCTGTTCTATACTGTGCTTCTGGCATATTTCAGTGCAAGCTCAGAAGTGGAAAAAGTGAAGAGGAGGAGGGCACCAGAGGCTTTCGGAGATAGGTTCCTTTAGCCTGAGGATCAGAAGGCGGGAAACGGTGGAGAAGAATTCAGCTCTGTCCGGACGTCTCTTCCAGTGCAAGATCTTTGCAGACCCAAGGCTGCTGGAATTCGTAAACTGTTGACTCCTGACATCCTTTATTTGCCAGAAAGCATGAAGGCCATTTTCAGAAATGCTCCGGAGCCCCCAGCTAAGGGAGGGAATGTGTGACTTTGGGGGATGGGGATTGGAATCCCAAACTTAGGTTACTAGACACTTGTATCTAGGACCTGAGACCGCAGAGTCCTCTAAGGTGCCTTTGGAGCTCTGGAACTGTAGTCCCAATTACCTTTTTTCTAGGTTTGTTTCATTTCACAAGCCTGTCTTCCAGAGACAGGTGTCGGGTCCTTCACCTAGTGGTGGTGAAAGATTTATGAGCTCTTCACAACCAGATTAGTCACATCTATAGCAAATATATAATGGAAGCAGACCTTGCGTTGAGAAAAAGATAAGTCCGTTTTGTCTTTACTACGCATTTTGAAAATCTGTGATGAAATGAATCTTTAACGTTGCTTCAAAACTGGTGTTAATAAGCAATCTGAAATTTTTTTTCACTTCCTTGTCCCATCTGGGCCAGAGCAGTGAATTTTAATTAGCCTTTGAATGGATTTGTCATTCCCAAGTAAGTCCAAGCAGCAGAGATCTTATGACTCAGAGTCGTAATAGTAATACTAATAACTCATCCATGAAACTATAATGCTAATATATGTCCAGCTGCACGATTTCCATCTGAGTAAAAATGTAAGGTTTTATGGGTAACAAATATCAAATCCAGGGTACATATAACTTCCTGAACTATAATACATTTAATTCTAAGTTAAAATAAAACATGTTGGGTTTTGTTGAGACAGGATCCCACTGTGTAGACTTGGCTGTCTTTGAACTCATAGAGATCCAGTTGCCTCTGCATCTTGAATATGACTGCTGGAATTAAAAGGGTACACCACTACATTCAGATGCAAAAGAAAGTTTTGATGATTCAGAAAACAGAATTTGAGAGTTTGAACTATTAATACCATTCAGACATGACTTTAAAATAGAAAGTAAATTATTTCTGATTGTTGAAGGTCAGAATATTAACTTTTAATTTTAATCTTCATTTCCTAATTGAAGTCCATCCTAAACTGGTGAGATGGCGAGGTGGCTCCGTCAAGACGCCACCTGTCAACAGGCCTGATGGCCTGAGTTTGAGCTCCAGAACCTACATGGTGGAAGAGAGAACAGACTTCAAGTTGTTCTCTAACCTCCAAACATGGACTATGCATGCATGTGTGCACAAACACATATATACACATATAAATAAAATGTAAAAAAGTAAAGTCCAAATCTCAACTAGAGGTCTTTTTTTGATTAGCTTTATTCAACATTATTTAGCATGAGAGATTGAGATGATACCACGCAAGGGTAGCTGGTATGTGCTTAGTGTCTAGATTGGTAATAACATACAGTATGTGTTATTGAAACTGGTGTGTCTACAGGTCAAGTCCTTCAGGCTGACTCTTTCACCCACTTATTTGAGTGGTACAGAAAGATTTGCATGGTATATAATCACTTGTTTGCATCCTCAGATTCATTTCATGAAATGGGCTTCAGCAGCAGCTCTGGTCAAAAGCTCAGCTGCTCAGAAGGCTCAGCTCCACCTACTCCCTCCTTGCTCTGACCTGCAATCATTGAAACAAATGTATCTCTTTCCAGTGCACCCCTCTTTTCCACCTGCCCACATCCTCTGTTACCAGGACTACTGAGTCTTGACCTGCGGCCATGCATGCGTGATCATAGTCCAGTTGCTACACAGAATTGCTTGGCCAAGTTCTGTGGGAGCCCGTTTTCAGGTTCCTGGTGGCTTTATCCAGCAGGTCTGCATTGAGAGGATGATTAGGACCACGGGCCCGAGTGCAGGTGTCTGAGATGGTCTGCACTTGGCTGTGCTGGGAGGGAGGTCTTTTGCTCCACCCCCTTGGCATCTCTATAAATACCCTGGGGCAGAGACAGTCAGGGCCCTTTGGAAAAGGTTCCATCCAGGCCCTCTGGAGGCTATCCTTTATTTTCTGTTTATCTCTGCAAGATTCTCCACAATAAATCCTTCTATCTAATATTTCCTGCTGCTCACACTCAAGAAAACTCTGGAGAGCTGTGGGGTTGGTGGTTAAACGCCCCACAAAGTTCAAACTGCATGGCTTTTGCCTGCAATCACACACTCATCAAACTTGCTTTTGTAACTTTGAGAGTTAGACTTTGTCTTGATTTAGAGGGCCAACTTTTGCTTTCTGAATAGGAGTAGTACAAGTGTTTATTTCCATGTTTCTAGAAGAAATATCCCAGCTTTTCCAGAGGTTGTAATTTTTATTTTGCATTCCCAACAGCAGTATATGAAGGGTCCAGATAGTCCACACCATCACTGACACCGAGCTATTTCTTAGTTTTTGAGACAGTCTCACTAGATAGTTCAGGACATCATTAAACTGGTCAGCTTCCAACCTTAGCCTCCCTGGTGCTGGATTTACAAGTATTACAGATGTGCACTACTTTTTCAAACAACTAGTGGTGCTGAGCATATATATTCCCAAATCATATTGTTTTATTACAGTGGGTTTCTTTTCAGACACTATAATCTCTGGAAGCATCTCACTGACTTATAAAAGTTCTTTATATGTTGTACTAATGTTTTCAACGATTGTGCAGCTTGTTTTGCATTTATAAGAATGGCTTATGTTTACTAACCTCTTTCATCCACATAACCACCCTGCAATACAGCTCTTGTCATCATCACACTTATGAAGAAAGTCAGGGTCCAAGAAAGCAACCATTGCCTCAGCATCACACAACTAGGTGGCCATGCTAAAACAGCAAGTCACAATAGAGATGCCAACTCAGTAGGCGTTTCCCTAGGTCATCGTAGTCCATCTTTTCTTGATTTATTATGAATCTATCAGTCTAATTATGCCATTGCTGTGTCTATTCTCCAGAAATCAAGAGCTGAGATCTGAATCTTAGCCTGTTAGTCCTTGATGCAGAAACAGACTGAAACAGAAGTCTTTTCATTTAGAAATCCATTCTTAGAATGTCAATATAAAGCTTTACTGTTCCAGAAGCCCTTCAAGCTCTCTCTGAATTTGCTCATGAAATACCTGTTTGGCCAGGTTTAAGTCTTATGTTGGACGGACACACACACACACACACACCCCTATGCGTGTGAATTTCTAACTGAAAGCAAATCCACCACCCTGTCTTTAGTCTTTCCTCAAAGTCTCAAAGTTTGTTACCTCATGGGTTGAATGCCATTTTTATATCATAAAACAAGAGATTCATATGGTTTTGTCGTTTGTTGTTTTGTTCGAGACAGGGTTTCTCAGTGTAGCCCCAGCTGTCCTGGAACTCACTCTGTAGACCAGGGTGGTCTCAAACTCAGAGATCCACCTGACTCTGCCTCCCAAATGCTGAGATTAAAGGTGTGCTCCACCACTGCCTGTTGGGTTTTGTTTCTAAATTAAAAGCACAGCCAGGCACTGCATTGGTACTTTTAATCCCAGCACTTGGGAAGAAGATAGGTGAATCTGAATTCAAGGGCAGAAAATACTATTACTTAAGTCCATTTTACAGCTAGATTACTTCTGGATCATACCTGTGGTACCATATCAAAAAAGTCCTTTAATCCCAGCAGAGGCCAGGCTGGTCTACAAAGTGAGTTCCAGGACAGCTAGGGCTGGGAGAGAAACCCTGACTTGAATAAACAGATCTTTTACTAATTAATACAAGGTCACAAAGAGTTTCATCGTCTAGATATTTTTAGTGTTTTCCTTAGGTCCAAGGGACATTGTAACAATTTACTAAAAAAACTTTAACTTTATTGCATTGTGCGCAGTTGTCAGAACCCCTGAACTGGAGTTACAGACAGTTGTGAGCTGCCATGTGGGTGCTGGGAATTGAACCTGGGTCCTTTGGAAGAGCAGCCAGTGCTCTTAACCAGAGCCATCTCTCCCAGACTCTTGTTCTTGAGACAGGGTCTATGTACTCCTGGAGTTCTGCCATAACCACTACAACTGTCTTTTATTCCTTTGATAACTTGTTTTCACTGTTATCCAGGTTGCTGCTGCTCAGCTAGGAATAGCAGACTGAGCTACCATGCTTTTAAAATTATTTTTTGTGTACTGTGAAGATGTGAGTATTGATAAATATAATTTTCCTACATGGTTGTTGAAAGGACTATTCTTTCCTGGGCCTTGACAAAGCCAAGTGATCATGCAAGTGCAGATATGTTTATATACTCAGTTCTGTAGCAATGGTTGGTTGATGTTGACACTGACACCAGTTCAACTTTATGTGAACTCAATTAGTAAAGTTCTCCAAAACCCACCAGCAGCATTTTGTTTAATCATATCACTTGCAAATAAAAATTGTTTTTTACTCCTTTCCAAACTGCATGCTTAAAGCTTTTAATCATCAGGCTATGACAGTATAGAACAGTATATAAGTGCTAAGAGCAGCTTTCTTTACCTTTTCCCAATCTTAAATATAAAAAAGATCTCACCAATAAGGCTTTTATAGCTTTTCCAGGTTGTCTCTTTAATTCCCATATCATTCAAATTTTTTGTCACGATAGTTAACTTTCATTGTCAATGGCACACTCTGGATGTACCTATGAGGGAGTTGCTGAAAATTTTAGCCAAAGAGAGAAGACTTACCCTGAATGTGATACTACCTATGGGGCAGGGTCCCCAGTGGGCAGAAATGAGAGAAAGCAGGTTGAGCATTAGAATTCACCCCCTTCATCCTGACTATAGAGGCATTGTGATCAGATGCCTCACACTCCAGCTGCTATGCCCTCCCCACCATGACAGACTGTAGCCTGTAGCCCTTCAAATTTCAAGGAAAAACAAAAAACCCTTAAGTTGTCTGTCAGGAGTAACTTAATACAGAAAACTGGCAATGGAGTAGGGATATTGTAAAAAATACAACCACATGGTACTTAGGATTTTTGTTGTGTTGGAGGATTGGGAATTTTGGAGCTAAGGGCTAGCACTCTAGACTGCAGTAAGTAGAGCTTAACTGGGACTTCAGATGACCATGGACACCAAACTCAAGATTTCAGAGGAGGAACGAGGACTCTCTCCAGATTACTTTAGATTATTCATGATATAGAAAGTCTGCTTACATTCTCATATCCAGAGAACTTCATGAAGCACAATTCAAAGCAACAGGCTATTTGTTGAAGGAGGAAATTTTAAGATGGAAGAGAATTCATTCTGTGGTACAGGTATTGCTCACTGCTCTTGCTGAAATGTATGGTGAGGGAACAGAAAGGTATAAAAACTTAATATCAAGTTGAAAGTGGAAAATAAGGCAAAGTCTGTAATTGTTAAAAGATTAGTGCCATTAAGAGAAAACCTCAGACCCTTCACTGGGGCAACAAGAAAAGGCTGTGTGCAACTCATCCAGCAAAGGATCCATTACAAAAGTGCAAATTCATCTCAAGAAAAAACTCTGAGAAAGTCACTGGAGTTCCTGCTCAAAACCCACTGCCTACAGTTTTCTCAGGGTCAGCACAAAGGCCAATACTGTGAGACAAGACCATCCGTATCTTGAGCTGCCAGAACTTGGCAGAAGCATCTAAGTGGGGGGAATTTAGAAGAAAAGAAAGATTTGTCAGAGGACTATGGCAGTTCTAGAAGGCCAGATAAGCAACGTGTGGCAGGGTCAGATTCCAATCTGCAAGGTCCTGAAAGGCCACTGCATGAAGCCAGGAAAGTGAAGTCTAAGACTCAGGGATGTTGGAGATGCCAGGAAATGTGAACTGTTTGCCAATGAAAGCTGAAAATTGGAAACAGACGAAGACTAGAGGCTAGGTTTTGTTGTGTGAGATTTTGGGTTCTGCGAAATAAAGTTTGCCTGGAGATCAGGGGGCAAAGCTAGACACTAGTTAACCACAGAGACCATGGCTCACGCCTTTAATCCCAGCACTCTGGACTTGGTGGGCAGACATCTAGGCCCCTTCTGTTGGAAGATCTGGAGAGGTAAGAAATCACTGGTGGCTGCCCTCTGCTCTTTCAGGTTATTACCCTGGTATTTGACTCCTGGTTTTTGATAAGACTAATTAGATTCATGCTTCAAGGTGTGCTCCAGGCAGGAGACCTTCATCCTTCATCTATTAAGACAGAATATGAATTACACAAATTGATTTTCAATTCCTGGGACAAATTCTACATCATCACACATCCTTTTCCACATATTGCTGACTAACTTGCTCATTTAAAGGATTTCCTTTTTATTCATGAGGTAACAATCTAAAATTTTCTTGACCTTACTCTTATTATAATGCTCTACTCATAAAATGGGTTGGGCAATATTTCTAAACTTCATAATGTAGAGTATGAAAAACTGGTTTCTTTTTTTTTTAAACATTCACTCATGTGTGCTCATATGTGGAGGTCAGAAGGTACTATGTGGGCTCAGGGATTGAACTCAGGTCAGAAGGCCTTACAACAGCAAGCACCATTACCTACTGAGCCATCTTGTGACAGGACTTCATTGACTTCACAAAATCTACAAATAAGCCACAACCCAAATGAGCCTTATTTCATTTGCACCACTGGTCACTTTTTGGGGGTCCTAAAATTTTCCTTGATATGGCTTTACTTCCATATTAACAGATGTCTGCTATAATTTCATTTAACTTCCTTTAGGTTTAACACTCCATTTCTCAAGATATAGACTTACAAACTGGATTCAAGTTTTTTTGTATATACATTCACCACCGCATATTATACTTTTAAGTAGTATCTCTAACTGTATCCTACAGCTTATCTTTCCAATATATTTCAAATGTTTTGTGATTTATTAAGAAATATGTTACATAGACTTCACGTAAGTTCCAGGTATGTAGAAACTTGAAAAATGTGTTATCTGGGATCATGTAAAATTTTCTCAGGGGAAAAAAAGAGCCAGAAGATGGGGAGAGATGGCTCAGCAGTTAAGAGCATTTGCTATTCTTGGAGAGGACTCAGGTCCAGTTCCTAGTACCCACTGAACACTTTTTACAACCACCTGTAATCAGTCTGTTGAGGTGGTATTGAATAGGTGGAGGCAGATTAGCAAATGTGAGGGTAGCCTGGGGGTGCTGTTTACAGACCAGCCTTTATCCTAACATTGAAAGGCACTCAGTTCAACCCCAGGTACTACAAAGGAAAAAGGAGTAATGCTTATTACTAGTGCTAGGTGTTCCTAGGCCAGGGCCACACCCTCTTTTCACAATTTCAGTCACTGCCAGATCCCTTCTGAGTACCCCCATGACCAAATTTCATGATCTAAGTCAGTGCACTACCCTGTTAAATTACAAAACCACCAATAAGAAGTGGTAATTCAGTAATCATGCTCTAAATGTGGCCCAGGCTACACATTATAAAACGTGTACCTGATACTTACAGACACTACAGAAAGTGGGTTGGCTACTAGGCAGTTAGTAGTTACGGAAGTTACACTTGTAGGACTTACCAGTGTTTAAGTGTAAGAGTAAATAAGACTTGAATAAGTAAATGCTTAATAGAAGTCTTGACATAGTTATTCTTGGGGTCAACTGTCATCAACCAAATAATGAAGACATGCTGAAAAGACAGCTCAGCAGTTAAAAGCACTTACCACTCTTATTACAGAGAACCTGTGTTTGGTTCCCAGTATCCAAATAGTGACTCACAACTATCTGTAACTCCAGTTTCAGGTTTTGACACCCTCTTCTGAGCACATGCATGCATGAGGTACACATACCACACACACACACACACACACACACTTTAAAAAATTAAAAACATGAAAGCAAGAGCTAGAGCTGGTATTGTAATTCAATTTCTCTTATTGCTTCGGCCTCCTCTCCTGATCAAATGGTAAAATGCTGGAAGTCAATCACAATTAGTCTAGTCTCTACTAAACAACAACAACCCAGATTTGAACTAGTCTGTAAAAGGAATCATTAGAAGGTCTTTTTAATAAAGACAAATCTGGGCTGGGTACTGGGGTGAACACTGGAAGATCAGAGAAACAGAACAAGCCACAGCTTCCTCACCTTGCCAATTCCTCAGCTGATCCTGTTTCCTCACACTGGAAGCCTGAGTCCTCATCCAAAATGGATCTCAGCTGAACTGCTGCTAAAGCCTAAAAGCTTAACCTGCTTAGTTCCTAGTTTTCACGCCTTATATACCTTTCTGCTTTCTGCTCTCACTTCCTGGGATTAAAGGCTTGAGTCACCATGCCTGGCTGTTTCCAGTGTGGATTTAAACTCAGACATCCGCATGGATCTCTGCCTCCCAAGTGAAAGGATTAAAGGCATGTGCGCCACCTTATCTAGTGGCTGTTCTGTTCTCTGACCCCAGATAAATTTATTAGAGTACACAATATTTTGGGGAACACCACACTAGTCTGCTAATTTTAAATTGTAGCTTGACTAAAGATCAGAATGGAATAAAGCTACACCAATCTAGAGAAACATATTAGGTTTGATACAATCATAACCACAATACAGAGCTTCTGATGCATAAATCCTGAACTTTTTTTGGTGTTTTGACTCACCAGGCTCATAAGCCTTATGAAAGTTTGTTTTTAATGTTTAAAAAGGCAGTGTAAAGAATATTTTCTCTCCATATTGCTTTATAACATTAAAGCAAACTCGAGATTGATGAGAGAACTTGTTTGTTCACTTTTGTACAGGAAACCTTCAGCCAGCCAAAGTGATGGTATACACCTGTGATACCAAATTTAGGAGGTAGGAGGAGGAATCCAAATTGCGCCTCCTGCATACCAAGTTCAAGGTGAAACCTTGTTTCATAACTAGCTGTCTCCCCCAAGGGTCCTTTACTTAGATATTCTACTTACAATAGAACTTTATGGACCTAGAGAGATAGCTCAGCAGTTACGGGTACGCTTAATGCACACGTGAGCACACACACACACAATCTCAGCACTCTGGAGGCAGAAGTGGGTGGATCTCTTTAAAGGCCAATCTGGTCTACAAAGAGTTCCAGGCTGACCATGGCTACACAGAGACCCACTTTTTCTTTTTTTTAAAACTTACCTTAAGAGGCCACAGCCTTCATAAGCCTCAATTGATCATTACTGTATTTGCAGAGCTTAAAAAATAAGGTGTTTAATAAACTCAGAAATAATTTAAGTGAGAACCTGACAGTTTTCTTTAGTATGGAAGATTGCTAATGAAAAGCAATAGTCAAGACTGCTCAAATCTTTAGGAACAATTCCTGATACTGCCAATATGGTTTCTCAGAAAAGCTAAATACTCTAGAAGTTTGGCTGACAGAAACAAATTCTTTCAATCAGTTTCTTGTTAAAGTTATAGCTATTTAATATGTTTTAATTCATACTTAACCCATATGCCTTGAATTGTTGAGGATAGTAAATAAGTTCCTAGTTCAATGTATAGAAAATTCCAAAAATTATCCAGTACTTCCTAAGTGTTAAAGTTTTCATCACAATATAACATAGACTATAATTTTTAACTAGACTTTGTTAAGTAGCAAGTGTTTCATATTATGTTCCAGATGATTCCTAGATCAGATTTAGGATTATGAGTTTAGGCAGTCCAATGGATATATTCACATAGTGAGAAACTGAGGCCTAACAGCCATGTGAGATGAAGTAGCTCCTCTAGCCTTTATCAAGCCTTCAAGAAAATGCAGTCCTGGATGATACTGGATGGTAATAAAATCTTGTATCAGAACAAACCGGAGAAGTCACACATTGCTTGATTGGGAAATTATGGGAGCCAACAAATCTGTTGTTCGAAACTGCTAAATTTTGAAGTGATATGGTAACTACGACACACAAAGATCATCCATTGTTTCCTGTGGAATAAGCAAAGTGCTAATTCAGACATCTTGATTAGAAATATTTAACACTTGCTAATCCTGTTAAGACAAATTTTTCAAGTGCATACTTCTTGGATTGAAATAATTCCTAGACTCACTCAACTACTAAAACCCTCACTACAAAAAGGGGGTTGTGGGAGGAAATAGATGAGAATATGCATATTTACAGTCCATATTAATTAGAACAAAGTCTAAAGTGCTATTTTAAATAATTACATTCAAAATACAGTAATAGACACCTCTGTGGATCTTATTTTTCTCTCACTGAGAGTAGGTAGATATATTGGTCAGTGGTTTTTATTCAATGACAATGCTGTTCATATTTATAATACCACTTTTGTGAGTGTGTGTGTGTGTGTTGTTTACTTTTTCTAATAGTAAAGGAGACTTAGTGCTGATACACTTCTTCCTGTTCATCCATACCCCAGGGTGAACAGGAAGAAGTGAAGGAAAGGCAGGGCCCACAGCAAACTTTCCTAATTTTGAATGCAAAGGAGGACAAGGAAAGGGGGAGAGGACAAAAATACAAGTCCTATAATACATACAATAGGATGGGAGGGTATAGGAAAGGGAGAGACATGAAGGTGAGGTTTAGAGCAGTGGAACTTCCCCATATTCTTTTCTTTCTGATGCTGTTTCCATAGTTTCCAGGCTGAGGTACACTCTCAGAAGATGGGACTGGGAGAAGGGGGTCAGGGCCTCAGTTGCTACCCCCCACCCAACAGCTGTAGCTGTTGTAGGCAGACCTGTTGATCTGAGGCTTTGCTGGGTGGAGCTGGTCTGGCTATGTTGCCCGCTGCCCAACTGTTGGCCAATGTTTTTATCAAAGTCTGAATTAGCATGCCTTGATTATATCTGGACTATTTTCATGGGTTTTAAATTAGGTCTTAAAGAAATATAATAAAACAGTATGGGTCACAGCACACAACGATGACATATAGTTGCAGACTGTAAAACTCAGCACTACAATGAGTTTCATGACATTTACAGACAGATCACTACCAGAACATCACATAAGTTTATTTCAGATGTAACAGCAACGTTAAAATTGACAAGTTTAATTCTTAACTGCACCAAGTAAACGTAGCCACTTAAGTATCTTTAAAGATATTCCCTCCAAAAACTGAGGGAGTTTTTCTTTTCCACCACCACACACCATGCTTCCCAATAGTTCTCTTTTTGGAGGACTTTCAATTAATGAGTGACCTGCTTTGGAGATACTTAGGAACTCCTTTCCCCAGATGAAAATTAATCTTGACAAATTATATATTGCATAGATTTCTCTACAGATTCACTTTAGAACCAAAATTCAAATAGCATACAGAATAATTTTAACCTATTTACTGCACAGTAAAAACAATCTGTCCTGAAAAATGGAGATAGTGTGTTATCTTCCAGTTAACAGTTTACTGTTTTATCTCAAAGATTATACTTATCATATATTAAAAACAAAGAAAAAAAAAAACCAAAACAAACAAACCAAAACCAAAAACTCCATATGGGGCATTACTTTAGTATTTCCTGACTCACAGGCATATGGATTAGTCCCAGTTTCTACCTCTTCCCCTTATGTAAGTGGATGGAATTATTTAATGCAACTTTGATACAGGACAATTGACCCTTTACATACATTTAAAATTTAGGTTAAATCACTGACTAGTTGGAAAAAGAAACTATAATAATAGGGAGCCTACACACTCAATTCAAACTTTATTATTTGTTCCTCCTCTTTAAATAACATGTACTTAATTGTTGTGAGGCAGCTATTCGGGTTTTCAATAACCACATTTAGGGATACATTCATAGGACTACTCAAGATAGTCCAAGTGAAATGGATATAGAAATAGAGGCAGTGTCATCTCAGAAAACTCTTTTATATATCAAAATCTATTTTGCTATCTGGAAGTTTACAAAATGGCTGACTTCTTCAAACTAACTTTGCTCTCTATCATTTATGCCCTCTTCTCTTGGCAAGAGCAAGCTGAAGCTTATCCATGAAAGTAAAGGTGCTTAACACTAAACTTTTCTTCTGAGCTTAGATTTGGACTGTCTAGGAAACTGATACCCAAGAAACAAGCATGGTCTTTCCACAATTTCACTACCCTAGACATCCATCCATTCATTCATCAACCACACCCCTTGTCTGTATTTTTCTTGGCACTCAAGACTACTGAAGTCTACTTTATGTACTTTCACATTCTCAAAACTTAAAAAAAAGAGTTATAAAGTGTGCATAAGCATCTTGCGAGATAATTTTTTTTTCATTTAATCTATTTGGAAATAAGCCTTTCATACCACAATTTTCTTAAGAGGATATATTAAACTTCCTTTTAAAGTCAAATGAAAGAAAACATACACTCTGTACTGTTTTAAAGTCTAATGAGAACATATCTTGAGCCACTGACCATCTAAGAAATGCCATGTATTCTGAGATGAGGCAATGTGAGGAAGTATGAGTATCTCACATGTCTCCACATTACAGTTCTCAGCCCATCAGAGCCACTCCTAATGTGCCTGAAAATGATCTGGCCTTAACCAAACCTGTCAATTGGAGGTCACAGTGATATGTGTGTAACACTTTATTCTTCTATTGTTCCAAGAACAGAAGGAATTTGTCTAATGATTCCTCTTATTCCAAATCTTTAAACTCAACATTGTAGGCACAGAGTGTAAACAAATCTGGGATGTTCTCCAACAGATAAGCAATAGCAAACAATGTTATTTTCAAAAATACTGTCTAGAAATTCTTTCATATATTATCAAACGCTCAATGGCCACACTTTTAACAATCTGTATTAGTTGACATTAAATACACTTAATGTGTTACAAGTCCGTCTAAGCTTATGATATTTTTTATGTCCAAGAAAAAACACTTGCTTCAGGTTTATTTAGGGGTATTGGCTTATAACTCCATTTATAAGGTTACACTATTATTGGGCTTACTGAAAAACAAGAGAAGAAAAATCAATTATAACAATCTTCTTTAGGTCAGTTAAAGGCCATATCTCTAGCTGGGATATTACAGTTAATTTCACCAGCCTGCACTCTACAAGTTAATGCCTCTAGAAACAAGATTAACAGCAGGAAGGAAGGGAAAAAATAAACAAAACAAAAAACACCTGCTAACAAGCAACCCACTCATCAAAATAGCAGTTTAACTGAAATACTTTGACCAAAGTCTAATACTACCTACACAAACTGCCCCACCAATCAGCAAAAAGAGAGAAAAACTGCTTTAAAAACCCAAATAAGCTTAGTATTTTCTCACAAGGATAACAATGGTCCAGCTCCTGAGAGTGCTCAAAGGACTAAAGGTAGAGTGAAGGCCATGTCAGGGATTAGCATCCCACAGATAGTCTTTAAAACTCAAAGTACCACAAATACACTAAGCTTGTCTATGAATTAGAGAACAAGATATTGCTGCTGCTTTTTTTTGTCTGTTGAAATAAACAATATTGTAGGCTCTGCCCTTCAATGTGAAAGCAGGATGTTTAAAAAAAATTAGCTAAAAAATTGAAATCATCTGACATCCAATTTTGGGGAACAACTTAACTGTGAAACTATACAGATCTATCTTCTCCTTCCTTCAACCCAACCACCTCACAAAAATAAGAGAACTAAAACAATCCAAACATGATCATTTTTAAGAGTCCTTGAAAGTATTAAAAACTTGAAGAGGAAAGAAAGGAGGAATAACAAGGGAGGAAAGCTGAAGAAAAGGGGGAGAGGAATCAATGGGTCTTTCTTTATTTGGCGACAAGCAAGTGCAAGAAAGTTCATTTGTAATTTGTTCAGTTGTCTGTCTTTTGTGTCTCTGCATTCTGACCAGATGGGACTTTGAGGTTTTTCTGAAGCACATGAGCATCTGCAGGCTCTATCCTCTTATAGTAGTTCTTCTTTGTCTCAATAATCTCAAAGCCAAACTTCCTGTAGAAGTCAATCGCAGACTCATTGCTGATCTGGACATGCCTGAGATACAGGGTATATATACAGATACATATATAAGACAGTTTCATCAACTTTCAAGCCTTAACCAGATAGCTTCAAATTGGTCAGAGGTGGAATATTACAGACATTTTGTACATTTTTTTTACAATGACCAATATTCAATAAAGATTAGTCAATTCGTATCAGTAAAACTGACAATTTTACACTTTTAACCTAATTCCTCCACTTGCACGGCAGATGGCCGAGATTAGGAAGGTCAGTGTTTATTCTTATTCTTAACAGAGGTTAAACTATCATGAGGCTCAGTCTTCCAGAGGCCCAGTGTTTCATTCCCAGCACTGCCATCAGGTAGCTCACAACCACCTGTAACTTAAGCTCCAGAGACTGCTGATGGCTCTAGCCACCTTGGATACCTGTAATCGTGCACATGCCCCTCCCTCGAAAATATACACACTAAAAACAAAACAATTAACAACAAAATTACACTATAGTCTCAATTGCCTAAATATATCTTCTTGAGCTTCTTTCATTACTCTTCAGAACAACACCACATAATGTGAAAACAATCCATTGTTATGATTTTTGTCTTAGCTCTTTATGTTGGTTGTCTGCCTTGAACTCCCAGAAATCTACCTGCCTCTGCATCTTGGGTGCAAGTGCTAGAATTAATGACATGAGCCAACACATCAAGTTGTGGCCTTCTGAGACTCAAGTATAATCTCAACTAGGTTACTTCTAACTTTATTAAGCTCCGTTAAAAATGATCATGTTGCTGATAACCTTAAATAAAATATATCAACTATTAATAGTATTAATGGTCTCAAAATTCTGAGTACTTGGATTGTAATCTTGGTTTCACCTTAGGTTCCTTATATATAATTAAAACCAAATAGTTTACCTATACTACCACAATTTTGCACCCACAATTCACCAACCCCAAATTAAAAATAAAGTTATCCTGAAAGGTACATACACACCATTCTTCATCATTCCCTAAACAATACAACATAATAAAAACTTCTGTAGCATTTTCCTTCTTCTAGGCATCCTAAGTAAATTGGGTCAGTTTAAAGAACATGGGAGGATAGGAATAGGTCATCTGTAAATAGTATGCTCGTTTATATGGACTTATGACATCTTAAATGAATGCACTTCATTTTTTTCTAAATTTATTTTATGGGTATGGACATTTATGTCTGCAAATATGCCTGTGTACCACATATGCATCAGAGGAGGGGGCACCATTTTCTGGAACTAGAGTTAAAAATGGTTTTGAGACACTATGTGGGTAGGTACTGGTAATGGAACTGGTGTTCTTCTCTGGAAGAACAGCCAACAAAAGCTCTTATCAGATGAACTCTCTCTTACCTCCCTTTTATACCATTAGTGTCATCAAGGAACAAGCATACATTCATGGTGTTTTCAATCAAATATACAATGAGTGGGTAGATCTCAAAGTTTCTGATAGGGATTTAGAGGGATAATTCATCAGACACTTAGATGAACATTAGGTACTTACAGATAGATGTTGTCAAAAGTGCCATCTTTCTCACAGATGTTTAGGACATGATTTAGCATTTTAGTTCCTATTAATAAGACAATAAATAACTTTACAAATCAACCTTGAAATTTGACATCTACTTGCCATATTTACTAAATCCTGACACAGAATTAGAAAACAACTAAACATCCATTATTTCACCAAATTTTGGTCTCACTGTTTAAGTTACATGTTTAAAACCACTAGAAGAGGACCTTTTTATTACAAACAATTCCACACTGATAAACAAGATGTGAACTAATTTATGGGGCTTCCAAATGAGTACTAAGCAGTATTTTTCGTTTAATTTTTCACAATTCAGTAGCCTCTTCCCAGTTTCATTTCTTTTGTTTGTTTTTTTGAGACTGGGTTTCTCTGTTCAGCTCTGGCTGCGCCTGCCTCTGCCTCAAGTGCTGGGATTAAAGGCATGCTATGCTCTACCAACTCCTGGCTTCCCAGTTTTCTTAAAACAACAGAACAAAACACCACATAATTTTACCTATTCCTAGTCTTCGGTAAGGTGCAAGGCATCCTAGTGTCATGATGTAAAGTCTCTTTTGATTCTGTGAATGATCCACTCTGCAGCACACCGCACCTACAGCTATATCATTGAAATATGCTGCCACAGAAAATACAAAGATGTTAATTTCAACATTACATTTCATCAGCTCTTTTTAAAAACAAATTAAAGTTGTCATAGGCATCAAATTTTAACCACTGATACTCAGAGTATCAATGCCCTTAAGACTTACATTGTCTAAGGAAGGTTAAGCTTTCTCTGTAATAGCTAAATTAGTAATGAACACATAGGCTCACAGTAAATAACAGAAAACATTTAGGAGCCAGGGAGTTGGCTCAGCAGATAAAGGTGCTTGCCACTAAGCCTGGAAATCTAAGTTGAACTGTGGAACTTACATGGTGGAAGGCTAGACCCACCCCCTTCAGTTGTTCTCTTATGTCATATGTGGTCACTGTAG